TGGCCTGGCCCTGTGGGCGTGGCCTAGTCTCTGGCTGGTTCTCTAGGGGCGTGGCCTGGCTCTGGAGGCGTGGCCTAGCATCTAACTGCTTCTCTAGGGGCGTGGCCTGGCCCTGGGGGCGTGGCCTGGCCTCTGACTAGTTCTCTGGGGGCGTGGCCTGGCTCTGGGGGCGTGGCCTAGCATCTAACTGCTTCTCTGGGGGCGTGGCCTGGCCCTGGGGGCGTGGCCTGGCCTCTGGTTCTCTAGGGGCGTGGCCTGGCCCTGGGGGCGTGGCCTGGCCTCTAACTGCTTCTCTAGGGGCGTGGCCTGGCCCTGGGGGCGTGGCCTGGCCTCTAACTGCTTCTCTGGGGGCGTGGCCTGGCCCTGGGGGCGTGGTCTAGCTTCTGACTGGCGCTGTGGGGGCGTGGAGCCGCTGGGGGCGTGGCCTGGCCCTGGGGGCGTGGCCTCGCCTCTCAGCAGAGCAGCTGGGGGCGTGGCTTCGCACAGCAGCCTTGTTTAGGGGGCGTGGCCTGCTTGGAGGACCTGGGGGCGTGGCCTCGCCTGAGAGGAGCAGCTGGGGGCGTGGCCTCCCACCGCAACGACTAGGGGGCGTGGCCTAGCACGTGAGCGGAACCGTGAGGGGCGTGGCCAAGCCTCTCAGAGGAGCAGCTGGGGGCGTGGCCTGGCCCCTGGGGGCGTGGCCTCCCACAGCAGCCAGGGTGAGGGGGCGTGGCCTCCCCCGGGGCGTGGCAAGTGGAGGCTGGAAAGTGGAGGCTGGAAAGTGGAGGCCCAGAGAATGGAGGCCACAGAATGGAGGCCAGAAAGTGGAGGCCAGGGAATGGAGGCCAGAAAGTAGAGGCCCAGAGAATGGAGGCCAGAAGGTGGAGGCTACAAAGTGGAGGCCAGAGAATGGAGGCCAGAAAGTGGAGGCCCAGAGAATGGAGGCCAAGAGAATGGAGGCCAGAAAGTAGAGGCGCAGAGAATCAAGAATACAGAATGGAGGCCAGAAGGTGGAGGCTAGAAAGTGGAGGCCGCAGAATGGAAGCCAGAGAATGGAAGGTCAGAAATTGGAGGCCACAGAATGGAGGCCAGAGAATCAAGAATACAGAATGGAGGCCAGAAAGTGGAGGCCAGAAAGTGGAGACCAGAAAGTAGAGGCCCAGAGAATGGAGGCCACAGAATGGAGGCCCAGGGGTGGAGACCAGAGAATGGAGACCAGAAAGTCGAGGCTCACAGGTGGAGGCCAGAAAGTAGAGGCCCAGAAAGTGGAGGCTAGAATGTGGAGGCCGCAGAATGGAGGCCCAGGGGTGGAGGCACAGAGAATGGAGGCCAGAAAGTGGAGGCCCTGAGAATCAAGAACACAGAATGGAGGCCAGAAAGTGGAGGCCCAGAGAATGGAGGCCACAGAATGGAGGCCCAGAGGTGGAGGCCCAGAGAATGGAGGCCAGAAAGTAGAGGCCCAGAGAATGGAGGCCAGAAGGTGGAGGCTACAAAGTGGAGGCCCAGAGAATGGAGGCCAGACAGTGGAGGCCGCCGAATGGAGGCCCGTGGAGCGACGTACCTGGGCGTCCCTGGACCCGCGCGGAGGGTCGGGGTCGGCGTGCTGGGGGTCCTCAGGGTCGGGGTCGTCGGGGTCGGAGGCCAGCACCCGGCAGAAGCGGTTGAGCGGGAAGCCGATGACGTTGAGCGCGTCGCCCTGCACGGCCTGCACCAGCATCCCGCCCTGGGCCTGCAGGGCGTAACCTCCGGCCTTGTCCCTGCCGGGGAAGGGGGGGGGCACCGGTGACCTTTGACCCCTGACCTAGGACCCCCGACCCTGCCAGGCACCTTTGACCTCTGACCCCTGACCCTGTCAGGCGCTGGTGATCTATGACCCCTGACCCTGTCAGGCACCGGTGACCTATGACCCCTGACCCTGCCAAGCACCGGTGACCTCTCTGACCCCTGACCCTGTCAGGCGCTGGTGACCTATGACCCCTGACCTGTGATCCCTGATCCTGTCAGGCACCGGTGACCTCTGACCCCTGACCCTGCCAGGCACCGGTGACCTATGACACCTGACCCTGTCAGGTACTGGTGACCTCTGACCTCTGAACCAGCCAGGCACCTGTGACCTTTGACCCCTGATTAGGTAAGACATCGGTGACCTCTAACTCCAGACCTATGACCCCCTGACCCACCCAAGCACCGGTGACCTCTGACCCTGCCATGCACCGGTGACCCCTGACCTATGACCCTGCCAATCACCGGTGACCTATGACCCCTGACCCTGTCAGGCACCGGTGACCTCTGACCCCTCGTCCCTGTCCCTGTCGGGTACCTGTGACCCCTGACCCTGTCAGGCACCGGTGACCTCTAACCCCTGACCCTGTCGGGCACTGGTGACCTGTGACCTCTGACCCTGCCAGGCACCGGTGACCCCTGACCCCTGACCCTGTCAGGCACCGGTGACCTCTGACCCCTGGTCCCTGTCCCTGTCGGGTACCTGTGACCCCTGACCCTGTCAGGCACCAGTGACCTCTAACCCCTGACCCTGTCGGGCACTGGTGACCTATGACACCTGACCCTGTCAGGCACTGGTGACCTAAGACCCCTGACCCTGCCAGGCACCGGTGACCTCTGACCCCTGACCCTGTCAGGCACCGGTGACCTATGACCCCTGGCCCTGCCAGGCACCAGTGACCCCTGACCCCACCCGTGACCTGTAACCCTTAGGACTGACATGGGCTCCCCGCTGTCCACGTAGTCCCGCAGCAGCTCCTCGGAGAGCGGCGAGAAGGTCACGCGCGTGACCTCGTGGAAGGTCCGCACGTCCGTCCGCAGGCGTCCGTCCGTCCTGACCCCCTGCCTCAGTTTCCCCGGCGGGCAGCAGCGCACCAGGGCCACGCCCGTCACCACCAGGTGAGTGCGCCCGCTGAGCCTGTCAGGGGGGGTCAGTGGTCAAGGGGTCAGGGGGTGACCTCTGACCCCACACCCCTGACCCCCCCACCCAAGGTCACTCACAGGGACAGCATGAGCCTGTTGGGGGGGTCAGGGGTCAAGGGGTCAGGGGGTGACCTGTGACCTCTGACCCCCCCCACCCCTGACCCCTGACCCCCCCCACCCAAGGTCACTCACAGGGACAACATGAGCCTGTCAGGGGGGTCAGGGGTCAAGGGGTGACCTGTGACCTCTGACCCCACACCCCTGACCCCCCACCCAAGGTTACTCATAGGGACAGCATGAGCCTGTCAGGGGGGGTCAGGGGTCAAGGGGTCAGGGGGTGACCTGTGACCTCTGACCCCACACCCCTGACCCACCCTCAAGGTCACTCACAGGGACAGCATGAGCCTGTCAGGGGGGGTCAGGGGTCAAGGGGTGACCTGTGACCTCTGACACCCACACCCCTGACCCCTGACCCCCCTCCAAGGTCACTCACAGGGACAGCATGCGGAAGGCGTCCTGCTTGTCCACGGGCTTCTCCAGAATGAGGCCGTCCACCACCTGCGGACGGACGGACGGACGGACAGACGGACCCTCACATCCCTCCTTCCCTCCTTCCCTCCTTCCTTCCTTCCCTCCTTCCTTCCCTCCTTCCTTCCTTCCTTCC